GCGTTCGTAATCTTCTTCCGTCAGACTCACTTGGCCACTAACCAGAGTTTTCCCTCTCCAGATGTTCCTGCCCTAGACGTCCCTGCAGTTTTTAAATTTCCAGAATGTTCCCATTGTGGGACAACAAAGGGATTTTCTATTCTAGCTACTGCTGGTCCTTCGTTTACAGGGTTCCTACAGCATAAGGCAAGTTAAATTCAAGACTTTTTAATGCCACTTGAAATAAAAATTTAAGACCAAATTCACAAAAAACACAAGAAAAACCTGCTTGCGACAATTTAACCTAAAGGTTTATTTTAACATAAACCACTGCACTAATGTTTCACATTTTGAAAAGCTTCCCATACAGGAAGAAAGCTAAAAACACACAAATGACAGATATATTTGAACAATTATTTAACTGAATTCACAAACTTTGTTTTAGCAGGGAACAAAACAAATCAGTTTTAAAGCCCCAACATAACCAGTGCTAAGTCTTTTTTGCAGCTATTTTTCTTTGTATGGTTTTCTTAGTATGTTTGATTTGGTGATAAGTGGAGGCGTTGCAGAGACAAGGGTGGAACTAAACTGAGAAATACCGGCTGTTTCTCTGTAACTCCATTTTGACGTTTTGTGTTTCGTGTTTCGCATGTGCGACTCCACTGCCTTAATTCCCATCGTTCCCAGCTTGAATGACTTCTTGCACTAAATCCACTGAGCCTCATGTATGTTCCCTGGTTTTAGTCATGGAGGAAACTCTTGGCTGGAGACAATTTTGGTTACATTTACACTGGCTGATGTTTTCCAGACAAAAAGTTTTAATGGCGCATCTCCCAAATGTCCCGGCCGCAACAACGCTTTATTGGTTCCGCTATCGGGACGGAACCAATAATGGCGAGTCATTATTATTTTTAAATACAAAAAAAAGGTCAATTTTAATGTTTTATTTAGATTACACAAATAAATCATAATAAAAATCAACCTATTTATGATGTTTTAAAAATTAAGACCTACGAAAGACTGATTTAAGACATTTTAATACCAATTAAGGTCTTAATTTTATTTTGAAGAATTCAATGCCTTTTAAGACTTTTTAAGGACCCGCGGGAACCCTGGTTTATAATAAACGCTTTTGATAAATCAGTCTGTGTGTTTGCCTTGAATTCTGGGTCCTCTGTTCTGAGCCTTGACAGAAAAAGGTTTATTTTCCTTGGATTTCAACTGGTAAGTAAGACCATTTTTCAATGGAATGATGATTTACGCTTAAATGAAGAATTATGCTCCTAATTTAAGAGCATGATATCTGATTCTTTTTATTTTAAGGGGCAACATTACTCGTTCCTGTGGCAGATCATCTTATCAGCCTGCTCAAACGAATGGGAGATACAGTTATTTTAAGAAATGTTCACTTAATTTTAGATCAGTTTTTACAAAAAGTACACAAAGCAACAGCATTTTGAGCGTCATCACATTTCAGTGTGTTCCAAAACACACAACAAAAAAAAAAAAAAAAAACAAGGGATAACATCTAAAACTTGCAGAGGGTCTCAGAAGACTTTAAAAAGTGTGCTCAATATGCACATCCCTATGTGTCTGCGAGCAACTAGGTCACCCGGATTTTCGAGGGGAGGAGGTTTTTCTTCAGGGTGAAACATTCACTGTGCTGGTTTTTTAAGACGATGCACAGAGTGGAGCATGCAAAGGGCTTACAGACGATTTGTCACGATGATCCCAAATGAAACGAGTTCTCAAAAAACAGCTTTTTCTTTCAAACCAGCAATCTTTTGCTCTTATATCACCTTTTTTCTTCTGCGTAGAGAGGGAATCTTAGCCCACTTATTTCAGTGATAACAAAATTACTATTTACAAATGTCAAAAGCGCAGAGCTGATCATTTTGTCCAGACGAGCAGTCAGTAAAATGTCTTATAACATCTGAGACTCCTCACCCCCTAGCAAAATGCAAAAACTAAAAGCTGTGAACACATGCAGTTCTCACATACACCCACGCAGAAAAAAAAAAAAGAAGTCTATTCACAAAGACGCTACAGGGAGCAGACTATTTGAGGAAACGCTGTGACATTCTGTTGCTCTGTGTGGCAAACGCAGAAATCAATATTTTTAGCAGATGCATCCCCCCCCCGTCTGTAGGATAACATCTGGGCGATGGGCTTTAACCCGGGGGAGGCGCAGTAGAATCCACCGGCGGCAGAAATGTCAGGAGGAGGTACATACCAGGAGGGATTCACAAACATGTGCAGCTATTCTCTGCTCGCCGATACTTGAATTAGCCACATGCAGTAAATCAAAATACAGAGTATAAATGTCAAAAAAAGGGAAGTTAGGATAAATTGTGTTGTCTCCTGTGTCATGTAAATAACATTAAGCTGGGTTAGAGGAGGGAATTGCATTTGTCCAACCAATACAGAGACCAGAATAAACGAGACACTTCTTATGCCTCCATTTATTATAAGTGTAACCCTTTAAAATGGAGCAGTTTAAATGCTAAGTGCCTCAAGGCTCCAGCTGTATTTATTGCACCGACGTTAGAATGGGCATTTCTTTATTTCCTGACCCAAATGTAGTAACGTTTTAACTAAATCAGTTCAATAATCAACCGAAACGTAAAAACTCAGGAGTGGCTTGCAGAAGCATTAAATCTACGGAGTGAGCTTTGTTCCATTATTGCTGCAAACAAAGACAATTTAATTTTTTTTTTTAAATGAAAATTAAAAAAAGCAATCCAGTGGTGAAATTTAATAGGAGAAATAGGAAATTTCACCACAATGTCCACTAGTCTCATTTTAATGCAACTTTTCTTCCATTAACGCAGTGGTTCCCAAAGATTTTCTTCTGGGCCCCCCTTTGGATTACAATAAGATGTCCACGCGAGGAAGTGGGGGCGAGTTTAGTCCGACGACGGAGGGACAAGAGGGCCAAAAAGAGCGGAGATCCAGGTGGAAAAAGGGTCACAGCGTTCTCGCGCACCTCGCTCTTCTAGCGGGTCAAACTTCATGAGTTGTTTTCCGCAATTTCGGTCATAAAAACAAAACAAGGTGGCCTCCTGTCTGCGGCGCTGTCTGCGGTCAGCTACAATTTGGGAGAGGAGCAGCGGAGCGTCTGTGGAGGGGGCGGGACGTCTGGAGCCGAGGTATTGCATTGCACTCATTGCACTGATATTGTGCAGTATTTTTGCTGTATTTTTTGATGCAACTTTTCTACTTCTGTTATTTGTTGTTGTTTCTAAAAAAAAAAAAAAAGGATTACGATATTACAGCTTTCATTGATTTATTTCAAACTTGAAACTTTGTTTAGCCTGTAAAGTGTAAAAAAACAAAATAAAAAAAACAAAAAATTAACCGATTAATCGATTAATCGAATGGAATCGTGGTGTATTCTTGAGTATCGAAAATAATCGAATCGTTGGGTCAGGAAATCGATAATGAATTGAATCGCCATGATGGGATTTACACCCCTAGTGCATGTTAGAATATGTGATAGATCAAGATAGCGCAGAACCAAAAAAATGGACAAAAAATGATAAAATGGTTTTAGTATTTTTTCCTCAACAAGCTAACATGTTTATTAAAAACAATATCCCTTCAAAATTCCCCTCATAAACATTAGGAATGTTTAAATCCTGCTGTGAAAACGGAAAATCAGATCTATATGTAGATGTCTAGGTCTAACACTATAGACCTACAGTATCTGGACATGGCCGTCTATATAAACTGAGAGGAACCACAACAAAAGCATTATTTAAAACAGACCATGGTCACTAGAGGGGAGCTGCAAAAATGAGCAGCTCAGGTGGACGAATCTTTTCACACAGATCTGACATTTCCAGAAGAGTAACAAGGAGAAAACAAACAGAAGAAGGACTTAGAAAGTAGGTTTGGCACAGAGCAAACATGAAGAAAAAGTTCTTCTGATCTGATCTTACCTGTTCAGACAAAAAACAAACTTTCAGGTTTAAATGTAGAAAACATTAGTGCAGGAGTAAAGCGTGGAACCATGTACTTTGATCCTCAAAGCGGCCGTCACAGGTTTGAGTCCCGGCCTGTGGACCTGTGCCACGTCTTCCACCTTCTCTAATCCAATTTCCTGTATGTCTACTTTCAAAAATAACTTAAAAAGGCCTTTATTGCCTAAAATAATAGTCTTTACACCTAATATGCAGCAGAACCCCACTACACACCTTTCCCATATGACTGCACGGTAATGGCTGAATCATGCTCTGATGGCTGTGTTACTTTGGCTGGGACAAAGAAGCTAATCTGATAAGAGGAGGGTTGAGGTGGACAAAAAACGAGTGGCCAGAGGTACAGCTAAAAACCTTAGCAGTTTTGGGAAGAAGATTTGGGCAAAATGTGATGATAGAAACGTCCATAGATAAACAAAATGTGGCTGTGCAAGGTACTGACTCATGGCAGGGGAGGGTGGTTTGAAAACCAGCATTATAAACCACTTTGTAGAGAGGATTCATCAAATCCTGATAAAAACACAGCAGTTAAAAAGATATAACCTAACATTTTGACCATAAACTACGCGCTACAAACTGCATAGAATGTACCTGTGCTTCCAGGAGGCGAGTCAAGCTGACGGACTAACCCGTCTCTGAGGGTTCAGATGGATCTCTCAGGGATAATTCTGACATCTATCTCCTCATCTCCTCTGCCGAATCCCTCTGGAAAGCTCTAAAAGTCGACCTCTGTGTCGCTAATTTCAGACACTTAATGAGATTTTTAATTGATGACCTTTTGAGAACAATTTCATACCACAGCTCATGAGAGCACAATGATGGCAGCCAACTCATTTAGCACCACCCGTATGCAACCATACTTCAACATTCTGATCATTTTCCTATTATGATACAAAAAAACTGAGTTTTAACTTCAGGTGTGAACCAACACTGAATAGGAATTTGCTTGTGTTGCTTCAAACTAGAAAGGAAAAATATCTAATAGATCTAATAAAATCCAACAGTGAGTGTGCAATGAGCTGATGCCATTTGTCCTCTTACCGTGGTGAGATATCACAACCCTGCTGCATGAAGGCGCCCAGTGAAAACCACAGCGAATTGAAAATGCCAAACTCGTTGGTCTGTTCTGGGCTCTGCTGGTTGGCGTTCTGCTGCGTCGGCGTCTGGCTCGGCTGCACCCCGTTGGAGGCCGCCGCCTGTGTGGGAGTCTGAGGCTCGGCTCCCTCCTCGTAGTCTTCGGCGTGCCACTCGTAAGGGCTGAAGCGACTGACGAGGAAGAGGACGACGCTGACGCCGATGTAGGCGAACACGATGCACATCCAGATCTCGTAAGCCAGCGGGTCCAGAAAGGAAAACACTCCAGGCTTGGACTTGGTGGGCTTCTTGATCATGATGGAAATGCCCAAAGACATGAAGGGCTTGGAAAAGTCTATCACCTCCTCGCGGACAAGGGTGATAGTAAGAGGAGCGACGGCCAGATCCGCTTTCTGCCGGTGGAACAAAAACACAGACAGACAGAAAAAGAGTTTAAGGTTATATTAAGATATTTTCCATGTTGAACAAAAATTGATTAATGTAGATGAAGTTTACTCTCATATGGAGTGAATTTTGTTCCATTATTGTTACAAAGAGCATGTTTTGTAAATGGAAAGTTGGATTAAATGCAAACCAGAACTGAACTTTGAAAAACTTATTTTAATTTGATATTTTTCTGAGTTTTACTAATTACAATATTTTCAAATAACATTTCCCAGATCAGATGTTTTCACTTCAGGCTTTCTTCCAGAGTGAGGAGTGAAGACGCGTTCCTAACGGTCTGCATATGGTTTATTTTAGGCTAGAAGTCTAGTGGGATCTAAGAAATGTCGTTATAAAGAAGGCATTTTCTTACACTCTGAAAAACATTAATTTAAAAAAAAGATTGAAAATATAAACTCCATACAGAAATTAAAACAATAAATAAAAAAAAAATCCATAAAAAAATAAACATAGAAGAAAAAATAATAATCTAATACTTTGAAATAAACAAAATATCAGAAAATATTTAAGTTACTCAAAACTTGTCTTTACTTTAATCAAGAAATGTTTTTAAGTTTAATTTCTGGAAGGCATTTTTTTCTTTAAATTTATATTAAAAAAGAATGTACCACCCATCATCCATCCATCCACCCATCATCCATCCATCCATCCATCCATCCATCCTCATCATCCACATATCATCTTCATCCGTCCGTCCGTCCATCCATCCATCCATCCATCCATCCATCCATCCATCCATCCTCATCATCCACATATCATCTTCATCCGTCCGTCCATCCATCCATCCATCCATCCATCCATCCATCCATCCATCCATCCATCCTCATCATCCACATATCATCTTCATCCGTCCGTCCATCCACCCATCATCCATCCATCCATCCATCCATCCATCCTCATCATCCACATATCATCTTCATCCGTCCGTCCGTCCGTCCATCCATCCATCCATCCATCCATCCATCCATCCTCATCATCCACATATCATCTTCATCCGTCCGTCCATCCATCCATCCATCCATCCATTGATCCATCCTCATCATCCACATATCATCTTCATCCGTCTGTCTGTCCATCCATCCATCCATCCTCATCCATCCATCCATCCATCCATCCATCCATCCATCCTCATCATCCACATATCATCTTCATCCGTCCGTCCGTCCATCCATCCATCCATCCATCCATCCTCATCCATCCTTCCGTCCGTCCGTCCGTCCATCCATCCATCCATCCATCCATCCATCCATCCATCCTCATCATCCACATATCATCTTCATCCGTCTGTCTGTCCATCCATCCATCCATCCATCCTCATCCATCCATCCATCCATCCATCCATCCTCATCATCCACATATCATCTTCATCCGTCCGTCCGTCCGTCCATCCATCCATCCATCCTCATCCATCCATCCATCTATCCTCATCATCCACATATCATCTTCATCCGTCCGTCCATCCATCCATCCATCCTCATCCATCCATCCATCCATCCTCATCATCCACATATCATCTTCATCCATCCATCCATCCATCCATCCATCCATCCATCCATCCTCATCTTCATCCATCCATCCATTGATCCATCCTCATCATCCACATATCTTCATCCATCCATCCATCCATCCATCCTCATCCATCCATCCATCCATCCATCCTCATCCATCCTCATCCATCCATCCATCCATCCATCCATCCATCCATCCATCCATCCATCCATCCATCCTCATCCATCCATCCATCCATCCATCCATCCATCCATCCATCCACATATCATCTTCATCCGTCCGTCTATCCATCCATCCATCCATCCATCCATCCATCCATCCATCCATCCATCCATCCATCCATCCATCCTCATCATCCACATATCATCTTCATCCATCCATCCTCATCATCCACATATCTTCATCCGTCCATTCATCCATCCATCCATCCATCCATCCATCCATCCATCCATCCATCCATCCTCATCTTCATCCATCCATCCATTGATCCATCCTCATCATCCACATATCATCTTCATCCGTCCGTCTGTCCATCCATCCATCCATCCATCCATCATCTTCATCCATCCATCCATCCATCCATCCATCTCTCCCTCTCTGTGTACTCACCCCATACACCAGTTCTCCAACCATGCCATTCCACATCTTTGTTTCAGGATCTCGGGCTCCATACTTGCCATCGGAAACAATCTTCAGCTTGTACTGGTAACCCACATGCTTGGCTATCTCAGCAGCTAGCTCTACAATGTAGCCTTCATACTTATCATTCCCTGTAAGCTGTTCGTGGTTCTTTTTTAGCATCACGTAGGGAGACTCCTGTTGGTTAAAGAAAAAACAAACAAACAGACAAAACAATAATATCAAGATTCTATTGTAATCATTGAGCATTATGTATTCTACATTTTGAATTTGACACCTTTCTAGCAAACTGATCCATTTAAAGAAATGGCTTATTGACATTCAGAGCTGTCAACACTAACTGACAACAATAGATACTTTTTCTGTGCACTGCTGCCATCTTGCTTTGTGTACGCGAGCGTCTCTATGTGTCCAGTTTCATGTCCTTGTCTGATGATTGTATAATCATGGATCTTGTGGTTTCATAGAACTCATATTAGCTTAAGCGATCTAATGTTATGTTGTGATGTAATATGACATTTTACTTATATTCTTTAGGGTGACTTTTACCATTTGTCTACAGGGATTACAGAAGAAAAATAGCCTTCTTGACAGGAATGTTTATCAATATGCACTGTACCTGTTATAAATAAACACAGAAAAAAAAAGTTTGCACTCAAATCTCTGGAGGAAAAAAAATTAATTATTGAAAAAAATAATGGAGTCCTTTGGGGTGGTTCTGGGGGCCCTCACACCTTCTTTTGAGCACATATCCTTGCTGAAGGAACCACACCTTGATATACACCACAGGCAATAGATCCAGGTTTTCAGGGATAAAGAGTTATGCTAAATCCTAAACTGGAACTTTAATTATAAATAGCATTATGAAAACCCTATAGGTTCTGCTTTCGATGTTTTCTATGATTGTATCCATCAGATACTCCCTGTTTTCCATAGCAGGTGTTCTGTGATTCCAAAAAAGTAAAAAAACAATTGTTAAAGAAAAATGATTATTTTTTAGACTTTAATACAGTTAATCTTATGGCATGTGTAAACACTCTCACTTGAACATATTTCTTAATTTTGAACAAGGCTGTGTTAATGATTTAAAACTACTAATGGGTAAGTATTTAGACCACCAGGCCATAGAATGAGTATCTCCTGGGGGGTGAATAACAGTTAAGCCTGCAGGAGAGATTTCTGCTTGGTTTACAAAAGGTCAAAAGTCTTCCAGAATAAACAACCAGGGATGGTGTGAAACTGAATCAGGAAAAAGGCCCCCCGCATTCCACAAGCTGTCTGTGGAAGCTTATCTTGTGTTTTATGACTTTAAGAATTCTAGATGCCAGGACAAGCTTTCCACCCTTTCTTGTTAAAACAAAGAAGCAAATGACCCCAGATGTTTGCAGTAAATTAGGTAAAGTTTTAGGCAGTGTCAGAGATGGCTTTTGGTTGGAGGACTGAGGGCCAGCCCTTTTTGAATGGATTAGATACAAGAGGATAAAGCTTTCTAAATAGAAGTTACAGATCAGATTTGCCCTTGCAACTCTCCAAAGATGTCTCTGTGCTCTTTGCTTTCTTTCCTCCTATGTCAGGTAATGGAATGTATGTCTCTGTTGTTCTGCAGTTTTGTTGTTAATTCATAAGCTGTTTTTTGTTGGATTAAATTCTGTGATTCTGTGACGTTCGCATATCTTGCTGGTTTTCCTTGGGGGCCACACGCAGCTCGCTGAGCGCACCTGGGAGAGGAAGAGAAACACCCAACCTTTTTCCAAAGTTAACTATTTAGAATATTTTCTTCCTTAACAATTGGGGGCTCGTGCCGGTTCTGGTATCTCGGCGGGCGGCTGTTTGGTCCTGATTGATCCGTCTCGGCCCGACGCTTCGGTGTGGTAAGACAGTATTTGATTATTTTTCAGTTGTCTGAAGCGCCGTGTGGTCGGACCGGGGCTGATTTGCTGTGTGCGGCCTCACAGAATTCAGAAGCTGCAGAGGTAGATAGGATCCCTCCTAAAAGAGTCGGTTGTTTAAGGATTTGAATAAATACACATTACAGGGAACTGTGGCTAGTTCAGAGCCTTTACGTTAACTCTGACTTAAGCTGGGTTTTAAAAAATTTATATTCTTTTTACCCTGAGGAGCAATGCCTGGGCCTCTAAAAAAGTATTTTGGAAATTTGTGTATTGGTTAGTTTTGGCTTGTATCAGCCGGAGATTTCGACTCATCTCCAGTGGACTTATAATTATTTGGGTTAATTGGATCGAGTTGTATCACTCATGGAAAAGGACTAATAGCAGGTTAATTGGACCGAGTTGTATCACTCGTGGAAAATAAAGGACTAATAGCAGGTTGGATCACCTTTCTTTGGCACCCTTAATCGGGTTGCTTATAGTATAAAGGACTAAAATAAATTATTTGATTTAATACGGGTTCAATCGCTCTCCCCAGCTGAAAAAGAAAAAAACCTTTTGTCACTGGGCGGATTGAGTGATCGAATAAACTAAATTGAGGCTTATTTTCGCCTCGAGCTTGACCCAGCTCTGAAGTGTAGGACTGAGAAGTTGAAATGAGAATAAAAGGGGTTTGTAACAGTGAAGTTGGAAAATTAAAAGATGCGTCATACATTCTTTTCGCCGGCACCTGACATTTTCTTTTCTTTTCTGTCTTTTCTTGACTGAACTACGACGTTGTCTAAGTTTCTGTGTTTTGTATGTTTCTTTGTGTTTGTATGCGTGCTTGGCTGCGGGTTGATCTATTGCTGTGTGTCTGTCTCCCCCCGTTATACTGTAGCCTATGTTCCACCACGCGCTGCTGTCTATTCGTCTGTCTGTGTCTGAATTGTGCTGAGATTGTGCGGAAGTGATTTGTGTTTCAAGATTGTGTTCTGAAATATTGTTAAATATTTTTGCTGGATGTTGTATTACTAACTTTCTGTTAAAATGTGCTTCTGTGGGACAGAGGTGTCTCCATTTTGGTTACAAGTTGTGTTTCACAGCAGGGGGACTGATTGACCCCCCTTATTTGCATTTTGGGAGTGCTTCAGTTCTGTTAGCACTGATGTCCAGCTGACTTTTTCAGGATTCTTGGATTTTGATGTGAATTACTCTTAGAGCTGTGTTTTGTGTTGAGAAGAAAAGTACAAAATAACAGATTTACAGATGTTTTTACTTTCTCAGCGGGTGAAATGTGTTGCATCAGTTCCAGGCTAGAGCACTGGAATGATCCAATTGTTTTTTATAATACTGTAACATTGACAATCACTTCAATTTCTAGGTTTCCTGACACAGGAGGGAACACCCTCACTGATTGGAACAGGAGAACAAAAATGAGAACATATGGATGTTTTTCTGCTTAACAGTGTTTTCTACACTGTTAATGTGGGACATGTTGAAACACTAATGAATGACTTTGTTTCTTGTAGGACGATCTTCGTGTGCAGCCCATTTTGCATATTACATGACCACATGAACGGTTTTTGGGTTTTCCTACAGGGGGTCTAGGTAGCCATTTAATAACAGTGGGCTATCATGAAATACGGTTGTGTGTATAATATGGAGTTTTTAAAAAAAAAGGGTTCACTCAAAACTGAACAATATTAGAACTGTTGGATAATAATGTCTTTTTATTTTTTTTTTCAACCATGGTGTTATAATGATTGTATTTAAGACTTTCACAGGACGAATTTTGGTTTGAAATCTGGGGTAACATCCTGCTTTTTTCTTACAATGGGGTGTTGATGAGTCTGTTTGAGTGTGAATGAGAGTGAATGTGTAGGCAGATGGCCTTTGATGGGTTTTAGGATGGTCTGTGTAAATATGACCTCAGTTTAGTGTGTAGCTGTGTGATATTTTTCTTATTTTAAACTATCTAGGGACAGTAAAGGTTTTGTTTCATGAATATGTTTTTATTACGGCTTTACGGACAATTTTAAGGTAATGACGATTACATATTTTGGTGTCACAATCTGGTTAAAGCTGAATCATCTGCTTGTGCAGTGAAATTAATATGAAACGAGAATTCAGCCTTGGCTTAAAGCAGATAAATGTAGTTATTAGGAAACTGTGTTATCCACTTTGACTAACAACACTAACACACTAACCTAAATTCTGACTAAATAAACTTGGTTTATATTTCATGTGGGTAACTGATTGGACATGTTGAAATTTTAGCATAATGGGGGAAAGTTCTTCCATTTTTGTTTTTCCACCTCTAAATTGTTTTTCTTTTGGAAATATGAAAACACAGGGGGATGTTATAAAGATAAGACATTACAGATGGAACTTTGAAATTTACATAATCTCAGTCTAGTTTGAATACTAGATGGAAGATTTGGAGAAATCGTGGAACATCTTATGATATTTTGGTTTTTCAGCAAATTATTATATAAAAGTGACATAGATTCCAAATTGTTTTCAAAATGGTAATTTTATTATATCAACAGGGGGAGAAGCAGAAGTAGACCCTAATTCCTGGTAAATTTTTGGGTATGGTTAATGGTAAATTAGTTAATCAATAATTTTGATTTTTTCATTTAACAATAGTGAATTATGGATTTCTTTAATGTAGAGCCATATGGCCTTCCTGCTTTACTAAAATATGATGTATGTGATATAGAAGCTTCTACTAAATTAGATTTGATCATCTCAAATTGAACGGTTTCAAATAACATCTATGCCATGTTTATTTACATTTAAAATTGTTGATATATTTCTGCATCACTGCTGACTTTGATTATATACAGTTGGGTGTAAATTCTTTGTTGAGGAAAATTTTGGTTAAAACTGCTATGGAATTCAAATAAAATGTAAATAATTTCTGAAATTTTAAAATCGGACTTGGTCTTGAAGCGTGGGACAATGATAAGGATGTTTGGTATTTAGTAGAACAATATGAAATTCATAACTATTTGACAAAGTGCAATTCAATCACAACTTTTATTGGTATCAGTACTAGGACATTTTATAGTTTATTCTAATTCTTTAATGACTTTGTGAGGGTTGTGATTTTAGAATTTGTAGTTGATATTTGGCACAAGCAGAGTGAATGTCATCGAGGTATTGACGTTTATTGATTTTGAACAGTAAGTGTCATTATTTTCTTAATTCTGGCACATCTGATCGTGGACTATTTTAACACATATCTATGCTTATTCTTTTTGCAGTTCAGGATTTGGGGCAGTTGGCCGTTTGTGCTACAAC